TTCAATCGTGAAATTGATTTTGAATTTTCTATGATTTTTGCATGCATTCTGTAATAATTAGGGAGTTCAAGGATGAAATTGAATTTTGTATTTTGTTCACTGTTTCTTGATTGTTTGGCATGCATGTAAGTGTTTGCGGTAATTATTATGTGATTTTTGTGTGATGGTGTCTTGAATTTTCATTCTGAGGTTCAAAAATTGGTATGCATGGATATTTAAATTAGTTGAATGCATTGTTTAGCACATGAATATGTGTACTTGATTTAAAGTGCTAATAATTTATTTAAGATTTCATTATTATGGTTTGAGAGTTGGCATGCATGTATGTGTTTTAATTCGATTGGAATTTTCAAAGAGTTGGTATGCATTTGAGGGTTCTTGATGGTTTAGAATACTAATATTTATAATTGGGTATAATTTAGATGAATAAAATTGCAAATCAGTGATAAGTATATAAGGAGGATGCTATAATCGTGATTAGTGATTTATATTCTATACTTATATTGTAACATTGTGATGATATAGATGATATGTTTACTTTTGCAACTAAAAAGAACAATTGACAATATTAGCTCTAATTAATTTGTTTATCATGAATTAACATTAGATCTTTATGTGGTGGTGAAGAGATTCTGTTCACTGTTGTGGTTGTTCTCGAAATGTATGGGTTGAAGTTGACATGATTTTCTTTATGATTTGTTGATATTTAGCTTTTTGTTTATGATTTTATATGACAGTTGGTATATTTTGAGGACTAAATTTTTATTTATTTTGTGATTGTAGCAAATCTAGAACACTCAGGTTTTTGTATGTAGTTTATGTGGAATGTTAAGGGTAAATTAAGGTGAACTTTTTCTATTGGTCCAAGTTAATAAATGTAGGAAATGAAGGTGGTATAATATTTATTGGTCTATAGAAAGAAGTTTGAAATGGCTTGGGTGTGATAACTTTCATTGTATCTTATTTGGGTTGACCTTAGTCTAAATTGGTTGATCATATGTTTATTATAGGTTATGGATGCTCCACTCACACAAGTAGTGATTTCATTTCGTCCTCTGTTGAAGCAAATTACCAGATGTTTGAACTTCCCTAATCCAGAATACCAATATCTCAATCTTCGGAGAAGCATTGCTTGTGTGGCTATTAGGAGTGATAGTAGTGATGTTCCTGTTGTTTACCTCGATGGAGATTCGGAGAGTGTAGATGAATCGTGTGAAATTGCAGCTAGAAAAGCCGTGTATGATCTCATGAAAAAACATGATATAATTGTCGATGATGTAACATCCTTACAGAAAAATATGTTTGAACATTGTGGACGATTGTATAATTATAAAAAAGAGGAATTGGAGGGAATTGAAAAAGAAGAATCTAAGGTTTATTTTCAAGGAGGTATTTCTACTGAATCTGGTATCAATCAGAGGAAAGTTGTTATTGATTTTATTGAAGTGTTGAGGTATGTTATAAAGTGTGTTGATATAAAGTGTACTTCAATTGAAACTATTGAGCAATTTCCTAATCACTATATTTCATGGTTTAACATCATCCATCATAAGAATAGTTCAGGATTTTGGTGTTTGTTTAGTGATTATTGTACAAGCCAAGATGCGGCTAAGCAAGATCTTGTTATGAATGTTGTTGACTATCTCATTGATGTGTGTAATCTTGAGATAGTGGATGCTAATTATAGGGCAACGACTTGTAGGTTTGATGTTGTGTTTTGTGTTTTGGAAAGGGAAAGTTTTTAAGTGCAAAGGAGCGAGTGTTAGGAGTTATAGAGCCGTTGGAACCTTCAACGGGACTTGTAGAACAAGACTACTTAGCTGGTGTAGGGAAGGAGTCTAAAGGAGCAGTGCCTATTCCACCTGATGTAACTTTCAATAACACTGATTTTAGGTTTCGAGTTTCAGAATCATCGGGAATCGCTGATTCTAGTAGTGATGTGTTTTCAGAGGTGGCAGGCTCAGGAGATTTACATGGTTGATTGAAGCGTATAAGGTTTCAAAGGATTAGACTTTTTTTTTTGCTCTTTTAACTAAGTAAGTTTTTGCTATAATCAAAATGTATAAATGTTTTGTGAATGTATGTTGTTGTTGATTAAAGTGTTTATGTATTGAACTCTTATTAGTACATATATGGGGGTTTGTATTCGGACATATGGTTATGTAATTGATGTAATGGATCAAATATATTCTATGATAATGAATTTTTTGTGTCGACTTTTGTTTTACAAGCTTCACTATTAGCTGCTTTTAGACTTTAACCAAATTTACATTAAAGGTTTATTGCTTGTTTTGTTATATCAGTTCAGGGGATTCAGATCACAAGTTGTGTGCACAAAATTTATTGAATAGTTGATATAACGAGAATTTCAAGGACAACGTATCGTGGATTTTTCATATAGTTTCGGAAAATGAGTGAGTTTAACTTGTTGTTTAAGATAATTTTAAAGAATAAATTGGTTTATAATCAGGACGTTTGGGTATTAATGCTTATCAATTTTATGTCTGTTATTGATCATCTGGATCGCTTAATACAAGCACCGTCGACATCAAAAAATTATAAAACTAAACGTCTAAGAGGTTTGGAAATTGGAAGTGATGAAGTAGAAGATGCAAATGTATAAAAAAACAAAGATTAGAGTTCAACAAACAAGTAATTTCAATTTTTTTTTGTTAGTGCTATGTACTTTATTCATTTTTCTGTATAGAAGTGATTTGAACATTAATATTAACGATTTTCGTGTTTATTATTGTAAGCACCTTTGTCAACGAAGAGCTATGAAAGTAAACGATGTCCAGATTTAAAAGGTGAATGTGGTAATGAGACACAAAGGTATGTAGATGCTGGTTATTTTAATAATCATCTCAGAATACAAAAAATATGGTATATCATTGTTATTATTTTGATTTTCAAAATTTGTTTGAACGTGTGTGTAATTTCTATTTTAAAGTTTACAAGAACATTTAAATGAAAAGGCTACAAGAGAAACAAGTAAAAAAGTTGAAGTGACAAGTAATTTCTTAGTCATCTTTTTTGGAATTACGTATTTTTTAAAAATGAACATCAAAGAGAAAGTTCAATATGCTAATTTTAAGTATTCATATTTAATACAAAGGTTCCAGATGCAATAATTGGGAAGAAGATTCCTACTAAAGCTTATAAGCTTCCTGCACCAACTTACTGTCACAGATGTTTGGCTAAAAAATTTGCCTTTGAAGCACTTCACTTTTGTTGTGATGATGGGGAAGTCGTGTTGTTGTGAATGATTATCCTACGCAGCTTGTGTGGTTATTAACTTCTATGGATGAAGAAGCAAAACATTTGAGGAAGTATGTGCGACTATATAACAATTTGTTCGCTTTTACTTCAATAGGCGGCGATTACAACGCTAAGACAAAACAAGGAATATATGTTTTTAAGTTACATGGCCAGATTTATCATAAGATTTCCAGTTTAGTTCCTGGAGAAAGGGGCCAAGAGATTTAAGGAGGTTTGACTTTCGTTGACTTTCTCTCTTCTCTCTCTTCTCCATGGTTAGTCGATTTTGATCGGTTTCTTCATCAATCTTGATCTTCGATGGCTAAGAAGAAGAAGCAGAACAATTCTACACCTCAATTAGTACATCATAGGAGCTCTACAGATACAATTTTGCAGAATTTGCAAAACTCAAGTACTACTTTTGTTCCAAGCCCGATTCAGGAGGTAGATGAGCTTGTCACTCCGGCGCCGGCATTAGTCAATCCGTCTTGTGGTTCTATTCCCCGGAGTAATGCTGAAACTATTGCACTATTTGCTGAAGCCATTTCTAGACCAGCATCTTCGATTTCCAATAAAACAGTACCTAGGGTTTCTAGGTTTACTATTCCATTGGATGCTGGAGCTGCTGCTCATCGATCTGAACCAGCTGTTCCCGATTCTCACTATGTACCTCCCTCGGAACAGAACTTTCACAAGGATGGTGAAGATCAAAGCTCATTCTCTGGAAAGTTGGCTGCTAAGGGAGCTCCCCTGTTCTTTGTTGCCCCGGTGGTTCAGAATGGGAAGCAGGTAGCTCAGCTTCAGGATTCTAAACTTTTGGAAGGTAATAAGAAATGGTCTAATGCTTTAGTTTTCTATGTTGTTGGTCATTATCCTACCATTGCTGCTGTTCATCGTTTTCTAGCTCAACAATGGCATGATGTGAAGAAACCAGACATTTTTTGGCACGACGATGGGTATTTTATCATTAATTGTTGCTCAGTTAGTGATAAGGATGCTATTCTTTGCTCTGGTCCGCATATGTTCATGGGAAAACCAGCAATCATTAAACCTTGGAGTCCTAAATTTGATTTTGGTGCTGAGATTTTGAGAACTGTTCCATTATGGGTTAAGTTCCCAAACATACCTTTAAATTGCTAGGGTCCTGAAACTCTTAGTCATATTGGTAGTTTGCTTAGTATACCAATTTGTTCTGATGAATGTACTACAAGACAACTAAGAGTTTCCTTTGCTAAAGTTCTAATAGAAATTGATGTTACCAAGCCATTTCCTAAATCTGTATTTGTGGAAATCCCCTCGAAGGAAACTTTGGAACTTAAGGTATTCTATGAATGGACTCCACCCTTTTGCTCTAAGTGCAATAAAGTGGGCCATGATTGTTTTTTCAAAGTGCCAACAGCTCCTAAGCATTCAGTGACTGCAGCTCCCAAGCAGTAAGTGACTGCAGCTCCTAAAGTGCAGCAAGTCTGGGTTGCTAAGCCTAGTCAAGCTCCTGCTCCTGTTGTTGATGTTGATGCTTTTGTTCATGGGCAATATGTTATCACTCCACAGGTTCATACTTCTCAAAACTCAGATGAGGGGTGGAGAATAGTTGGAAGGAAGACAAAAAGTCAACAAACTAGGGTAAATCAGCCTGCTTCTACCTCTAATGCTTTTGTTTCTTTATTTGCAAATGAAATGGATGGTGCAGGTGGTTTCACTATAAATCCAAGCGGGGGTGAGGGTAATCCCCCTTTGGTGTCATGATTTACTCTATCTGGAATGTCAGGGGCCTGAATGACCATGGCAAAGTTGCCTCTGTAAAGAGGTTGCTTCATTCTCATTCAGTTGATGTTATTGGCCTTCTTGAAACAAAAGTCAAATCAAAAAATGTTTTCACTTACCAAAAGAAGTTTGGCTCTTCTTGGCTTTGGGTGTGCAATTATGATCATTCTCCTAAAGGAAGGATTTGGCTTGGTTGGAATGCAGATAGAGTAACTGTCAATGTCTTAAAGATTCATGAGCAGTTTATACATTGTAGTGTCCTTTTTAAGGATCTTTCTACTCAAATTCATCTCACTGTTATCTATGGGCTTCATTCTATTCATGATAGGCTTCCTATGTGGGAAGGGATTAGGAACATCTCTATTCAGCATTCTCCATGGCTCTGTGTAGGTGATTTTAACTCTGTTCTTCATACTTCAGACAGGCTTCATGGTACTAATGTCACTGATTATGAGACTAGAGATTTCCAGAGTTTTGTTGATGATTTGGACCTCACTGAGGTCAAGAGCAAAGAAACTTTTTACCCTTGGTCAAATAAGGCTCACACTGGTCCTAGAACTCTTTCTAGGATTGATAGAGTCTTTGGTAACCAAGCTTAGCTGGCCTCTCATGGGCATGTTGAGACTGTCTATCTTCCCCCTTCTTTATCTGATCACAGTCCAGTTCTTTTGGATATTTGTCCTGCTCCAGCTGGGAAAGGTAGACCTTTCAGGTTTCTAAACTGTATTGCTGATCATCCTGATTTCCTTGATACTGTTTCTCAGGCTTGGTGTTCTGGTGGTTCTGTCTGGCAGAAGCTTAATTCTGTGAAGTCTAGTATCAAGTCTCTTAATAGCAAGCAGTTTGGCTACATTGTTGAGAAGATTGATCAAGCTAATGTTGAGCTGGCTAGAATTCAGAACTTAATGGCTTAGAATCCTGATGATTTGGATTTATATGTTAAAGAATCTGATGCTATTAAGGTTGTCAAACACTGGAATGATATTCAAGAAAGCATCTTCAAACAAAAGTCTAGGATCAACTGCATTAAGCTTGGAGATGGCAATTCCCATTATTTTTTCTCTGTGATGAAGAATAGAAAAGCAAGGAACAGAATTGACTCCATCTTTGACTCTAACCAGGTTTTGCTTAAGGATTCGGATGCTATTTCTCATGAGATTATCTCTTTCTATAAGTCTCTTTTAGGGACTCAGGCTCCTTGGCTTCCTGTTGTTGATCTTGTTACTATGAGGAGAGGTAAACAGCTTAGCTCTGTTTCTCAGAGCTATCTCATTCAGCCTGTTTCTCATGCTGAAATTGATGCTGCTCTTAAGGGAATTGATAGCACTAAAGCTCCTGGTATTGATGGCTTTAACTCCTTTTTCTTTAATAGAGCTTGGCATAGTGTGAAAGATGTTATTTATGCTAGTGTTATTGATTTCTTTACTAAAGGGAACTTGCCTAAGCAATGGAATTGCACAACTATCACTCTTGTTTCTAAAATCCCTAATGCTTCCCATGTTAAGGATTTTAGACCTATAGCTTGTTGCACTGTGGTTTATAAGCTCATTTCTAAGGTCATAACTGCTAGACTTGCTGCTATCACTGGTGAGGTCATTGATGATGCTTAACCAGGTTTCATTCCAGGCAAGCACATTGGTGACAATATCCTTCTTGAAACTGAGTTGATCAAAGGTTATGATCACAAATTTATTTCACCTAGATGCATGGTTAAGGTGGATCTGAAGAAAGCCTATGACTTAGTTGAGTGGGGATTCTTGATTACTGTCATGCAGGAGCTTGGTTTTCCTCAGAGATTTATTAACTGGATCTGGACCTGTCTTACTTCTGTCTCTTATACTATTCTTATCAATGGTTTCCCTGCCCCTCCCTTTGAAGCTAAGAAAGGTTTAAGACAAGGTGATCCTATGTCTCCCTTTCTTTTTGCTATTGGTATGGAATACTTTTCCAGATGCCTTGATGAGCTTAGGTTAACTCCTGATTTTAGCTTTCAGCCTAGATGTGAAAAGTTAAACCTAACTCATATGATATTTGTTGATGATCTGTTGATGTTTTCTAGAGCTGATAGTGTTTCTATTAAGCTTCTCTTCCAAGCTTTCTTGAAATTTTCTGGTGCTTCAGGGCTTTCTGCTAATCTTGATAAAAGTGAAGTTTACTTTGGAGAAGTTTCTGTTGATGTTCAAACAGAACTCAAAGAGCTTCTTGGTGTTTCTCAAGGTTCTATTCCTTTAAGATATCTTGGGGTCCCTCTCTCTTCTAAGAAGCTTACAATTGCTCAGTGTAGGCCTTTGCTGGAGAAAGTGACTGCTAGAATTCAAGGGTGGATGGCTCCAGTTGGTTAAGAGTGTGATGTTTGGTAATCAGACATATTGGGCTCAAATCTTTATCTTACCAAAGAAAATTCTGAAAGAGATTGAGGCTAGATTTAGATGCTTTCTTTGGACTGGCTCCTCTGCTCTTGCTAGGAAATCTTTGGTTGCTTGGAACTATGTCTGTCTTCCTAAAGTCTGTGGTGGCTGGAACTTGCTTTCTCTCCCTGAGTGGAATAAGGCAGCTGTCACTAAGTTACTTTGGGATATTGCTCACAAGGCTGGTAATCTTTGGGTTAAGTGGGTCCATATCTATTATTTCAAGCATAAAGATTGTTGGACCACTCTTATCCCTGCTAAATGCTCTTGGTTTTTGAAGAAAATTCTGAGTTGTAGAGATATTATGAATGATCAAAGGGCATGGGATGGTTTCATACAGGGCAATAAGATGAAAATCAAGAAGCTTTATGCTGCTATTAGGCCTCAAGTCCCTAAGGTTCCTTGGAAGAGGGTCATTTGTCATAACTTGGCAACTCCTAAAAGTGTGTTTATCTTGTGGCTAGCTTTGTGGGATAGGCTTGTCACTAAGGATAGGTTGCTACAATGGCACATCTTTTGTGATCCAAGGTGTTTCTTTTGCTTGAATAGTAATGAAAGTGTTCAACACTTATTCTTTGATTGTGATTACTCTAGACAGGTTTGGAACAAGGTTTTGAGTATTTTACATGTTTCCAAGCTTGTTTAGCAGTTTGATGATGAGATTGAATGGTTGAAGAAAACCTGCAGAAGTTCCAGAATGAAAAACAAAGTGACCCAAGTTGCCTTCACTAAAACAGTCTATGGTATTTGGATACAGAGGAATGCAGTTTTGTTTACTAGTTGTTGCAAGCCTATTGATGTTCTAGTTAAGGATATTATCTTTCACTCAATTTGTAGAATCCCAGCTGGAAGCAAATACTTGATTGTGTAATTTTTTGCTTAGTTAGTTTTGACAGGGAGCTGCAGGTTTGCTGTTGTTCTGTTTTGGTTTCAGGTTACTGGTACTGTTCTGAAGTCTGCAGTAGCCTAGGTTCTGTTTGCTGCAGCTTGGCTTGTATGGGGCTGCTCTTGATCTGCAGCTGCTCTGTTCTGGCAGGTTGCTGTTTCTGGTCTGCTGCTACTGCTGTTCTGGTCTGCTGCTGCTGTTGCTGGATGACTGTTGCTGTATGTGGAAGCTGTTTATGCTTGCTGCAGCTTGATTCAGGGTGGCAGCTGAGTTGCTGTTTCTGCAGTTGCTGTTCTGGCAGTCTGTTTTCTGCAGTTGCTGGTTTAGGTGCTGATGATGCTGTTCTGTTGCTGTTTCTGGTTTGCTGGTTCTGTTCTGGTCAGCAAGTTTGACAACAAGGTTGTTGCAGCTTGGGTGTTGGTGTTGCCTTTTTGTTTTGGCAGCTGGTAGTTTGTTGTTTTTTTCTCTTGTTTTTTTAGCTGCTCTTATTTCTTTGCTTGCTAGTTTATGCTAGTTTTGGTGTTTTCAGACTGCTCTTTTTGCTGGTTTTGTCTTAGGTTCTCTTGTCTGGTCCTGGCTTTCAGAACCCTTCCTAGAAGGTGGCTGTGAGCTTGAGTCCAGTAGGTGTCCTTGTTTCTCTCAAGCACCCTTCCTAGAAGGTGGTTTGGGTGGATTCTTGGACTGTTGGTGTTGGTTTGGCCTTTTTGGTCTGTGGTGTTTGGTGTTGCTACAGCTTAGCTTCTTGTAAGTTGTAACTTTCTTATTTTGGCAATAAAATTCATATTTTCCAAAAAAAAAAAAAAAGAAAGGGGCCAAGATACATGTAACTTTATTTTTATGATGGGCAACAAGAACTAGCTAATCGTCTTAAATGTTTTCCTGAATTAAGGGAGAGTATTTTGACAATATTAATGGAGGTTTCTAATTTAAACCCGTATGCCAAGGTTTTTCGATCTTTGAGGGGAGTTACGATTAGTGATTTGACACATATTTTGTTGAATAAACTACGGTTCCTCATCAGCGTGTTTATAATGCTCCTACTTAAGATGTGGTTGTTGTTTGAGACTACTTCTTCCAGTGAATCTGAAAGTCCACATATACTGGTCACTGGTCAGAATAATTCTTCTCATACAATCAAACATTATTATGGTTGCTATGATCTTCTGCAGTATCCATTACTATTTCGATATCGTGACTGTGGGTGTACAAACTACTGAAGATTTTTTAGAGGAAGAGGCAAGACGTATGAGTTCTACATCTTTTTAAACGAAAATTATTAAATACATATGTTTTTATATATGACATATATTTTGATTTCTTTTTTTATACTTTTTTTTCAATTGCTGATTTGTAGGTGCAAAGGAAGCTCATCTAAGGCGGATAAGCATATTTCAGCTCGATAATACTATGCTTATAAACTTCAGTGTCGCCCTGGAAATTTATTAATCAGAGTTGGAAGATGTTTTCAACAATATATTGTTCATATGTATGTCAAGGTAGAAAATACACGCTTGGATTTCTTCTGAAGGAATCAACAGACAATAAGGGATGATCTTTATCAGGGTCTTCTTGATACTATTGACTGTGGAGAAGTTTGTGCAACAAATGTTGGTAAGAAAGTTATGTTACCTGCCACATTTATCGGTGGTCCTCGTGATCTTAAGAAGAGATACTTAAATGCTATGTTGTTAGATCAAAAGTTTGGCAAGCCTAATCTATTTATAACAATGACATGCAATCCCAATTCGCCTGAAATTAAACAAGAACTTGCTATTGGAGAAGAAGCACAAAATAAGCCAGATATTGTTTCAAGAATATTTAGAGCAAAGGTTCTTGCTTTAAAACATCTAATTCGAAAGAAAAAGGTATTTTGAGAAGTAGCTGCAATGATTTATGTTATTGAATTCCAAAAAAGAGGCTTAACATATGCTCAATTTCTCATTATATTGAAATCTGAGTTCAAAATCAAGTCCCCTAATGAGTTTGACAAATTTTTCCGTGGTGAAATTTCATTTATTGAAAATGGATACTTAAGGGAAATTGTGATCAAGCATATGATGCATGGACCATGTGGTCATTTGAATTAGGAATGCCCCTGTATGAAAAATAAAGAGCATCGTGGGAAATGCAAGTATGGTTATCCAAAACAAAAATGTGATGAAACAAAAAGTAGCAATAATGGATATCCTTTGTATCAAAGAAGAGAAACATGTGATACTGTTAAAGTTCGGGGAGTTGAAATGGATAATACATGGGTGATTCCATATAATTCATATCTTTTAGCACATTTCTCTTGTCACCCGAATGTTGAAGTTTTCTCTACTGTTGAAGCAGTTAAGTATCTATATAAATATGTTTATAAAGGGAATGAAAGGATATCTTTCAATGTTGTTCAGACAAAAGATGGTGTACCTGTGCACAATGAAATTGAACAGTTTTAATCGAGATGGTGGGTTTTACCTTGTGAGGCTGCATGGTGTCTTTTTGGTTTTGATTTATATGAAATATATCCTCCAATTCTACCTCCTCCTGTACATTTACCTAACTCTCAGCTCATACAAATGAGACCTCATGAACAACTTACAACGATTGTTTCAAATAATAAACATACTAGAACTTGTCTCACAAAATTCCTTAAAATAAATTGTAAATCAACTTTGGGTACAGGTTAGTTGTACAATGAATTTTCAGAGCACTATCGATGGGATGCATCAGATAAAATCTGGTATAAAAGAAAAAACAAAAAAAAAAAAAATCAGATTGTATGGTTAGCATTTGTCGGGCCTTCGGAAGGTGAAAGATATTATTTGCGGCTGTTGTTTCACAGTGCGAGAAAACCTAAGTCGTTTGAAGATCTACGAATAGTCAATGGTTACTTGTGTGATACTTTTCAGCAGGCAGTAGTTAAGCTTGGATTGATAGAAGAAGATGATGCAATTGAGATGTGCTTAACTGAAGGATGTGCCATTCAGATGCCTCATGTGATTCGAAAACTGTTTGCTACATTGCCCATCTTTTGTCAACCTAGCAATCCTTTGTCTCTATGGTCGAACTATTATGTTTCTTTGTCAAAAGATTTCCAATATAAATATTGATGAGTGACATTTATGTTACTCTTAAGGAGTAGTTTTAGAGTTATTTCCGTGTTTATTTTCCCTTTTATTCTCTTGTTTTCTTTTTAATAAAGTTTCTAGTTTATTTCTTAGTTTTTGTATGTTTTAATTTAATTTCTTTATTTAATTGGTTTCTAGTTTATTTTCGCATTTTATTTGCTTTCGATTTATTTTATTTCGTTCCTTTTCTTTGTTACTTTCAT